CGTTCCCAAAAATAGTTTTGAATCTAGAACATCAACAGCTGTTGTGCACGATGAGAAACCCCACCAGACGATTGTTTTTCCTTTGATGTAACGCTCGCTCAGGTCTAATTTAACACCTCTATATGCAGTTGTAGGAATCGGCGGGAGACGCAAAAGTGCAGTAAGAAGGAGTCTCGTAAACAAATACCATGGTTCGATCTTTTGTTGTCGATCTGGTGATCGCAACGTATCATTCAAAACGAAATATAAGCATTTATTGAGTGGCGTCCAGCTCATCGTATAGAGCATAATCGAGGCTGATTCATCTTGTGTCAATCCATCGGCAGGATTCTCACATCTTTGTTTGGCAACATATGCATGACTTTGAACAGCTGGGAGAATAGGAACAAGCGGTTCAACAGCTATTTCAAGTGTAACAAGTGGCATTTCTTCATAGCCACCAATGGGTGTGATAAATTCAAGCGGCTCCTGGGCAATATCTGTAATGCGTAAAATACGCTGTGCTGTCGCTTCTTCTTCACCATCTGTAGCCATTTTCAACAGAAAGAAAGCTACTCACGAAATATAAAATGATAAATATCTGAAAAATAGTAAACAATAAGTTTTGTACGCAGTAATATTTTCGTCAACATCGATCTTTCTGTCCCGGAACAATAATTAACTTTTACAATCATTGAACTTTTATTATCATTGAACTTTTATTATTTTGTTTTATTCGATCTTATATAAGTTTAAAGATCTACAGCATGCATAGCGTTAGTTGCAATACTCATGTGAAGATATCTTTTCATGGTACTATCAAAGTAATTTAAAATTTTTATATTGCATTGTTAATACGATACAAATTTGTCCAATATTGAATGCCTGCTATTTCCTTATCTATTAATTCTTCGCTATCTAATTTTATATCAGTTTTCTTAACATAAGTTTCATTAAGACATAACTGTTTCTTCCAAAACGTTTTTAGCACTTTTATGTCCTTCATATTTCAATAGATGAAGGACGAGATTCACTGAAAACTTTAGAATAAGTAATCTTTTTATCTATTACAATTTTTTAACAAAACCCATTGAACACTTATGCTACGGACTTTGCGAGAATTTGCACAGCTATGTTCTCAAATAAGTTCAGAGAGCAATGGGTAAAAATAAATCTATAGATTTAGCTAGAAAAAAATGCTTGTTCAAGCATTAGTTTTATGACAAATGGCTTACTCAGGCCATGTGATTAGCGTTAATTTCAAACAAAAGAATATAGGATTCTAGTTTTTATACGTAAAAAAACAAGAATAAACCTCATGTCATATTTTTCGGAAAATGTCAGCTTTAAAATTACGTATGATGCTTTACTACTTTCGTTTTCTTTGAAAAAATCGAGTAAGCCGACGAAGTGTTGAATGTTTCTTACTTAAAATATTTTTCTCATTGTTAAAAAGCAATCATAATTTATATATATTCGATTAAACGAAAAACAATTGGGAAAGAAGTCTTCTTATATTTTTCATTTCAGTAAAATATCCCAAAATCTCTTTAGACTATCTTCATTCTAAGAGATGTTCTCAAGTGATCGTTAATGATGAATGACGATAACAGGATATAAAACAGAGATGATCTTCTGTTAGCTACATTGACGTTTCTATTCATTCATCTTTGCTAATTAACTGTCAAAAATGGATTTAAAGAATGTTTATTTTGCACAGCTACGCGTCAAACAATTCTTTCTAGTAGTTACACCTCTTCTGTTGCTCCTGCGTTTTCTAGCCAATACATGAATAAAAAAAAATAACAATAGAATAAATTGCAGTGTATTACGAGTCGACTAAAAATATTGTTTTGTAGATAATGAAACACTTCGTCGTCTTTCCCCATGAAAACATAAGTCCATTAAATTTGATTAAAATTACCTAATCATATCACTATATTTAAAATCAAAAATTTGATTATTCTGTAACAAAATCAAAATCGATTAGAAATGGTTTTTTTGAGTAAATTATAGTCAGATGCAAACCGATTTCCGTACAAAAAAAGTTTGATGTTAATCAATTTTAATTTTGACTTTACAGTATGATAAGCGTTTGATAGTCTCACGTACGGAATGTTTCAAGATATAAGAAACTTTGGAGATGAAACTTTATTCATCAAATAGAATCTATTAAGATTAGATAAAGTCTAGAATAAACCGTGCTCTTTAGACGTCCTTCTTAAGTTTAATCCAATTTATCAAGTTTTTGATTTTTATTGAAGTATCCAATAGAATAGAAAATTGTAATATTAGCTATACTAAAAGAGAAACCAATGAAATTCAACTGAGAACCTATTGAATGATAATTTGGCCGACTTATTGACCATGTGTCTTCGAGAAATTCTCAGTTGTTATGATTTGCTCAGAACTACCTGCAGACAATATGATTAGATGCTACCTCTGTCTTGTGACGATCAAACCGCACTCTGTTATATAGAAACTTGGTATATGTAATTAAGTTAAAAATGAAAACATGTTCAATTTGATAGAGTTTAGCAGAAAACAATCTGTATTCTTAATTAACAGATATGACCTATACGTGATTCTACTTATTAAGTGATCAATCTAAAGTCTAAATTTCTCGTCTTTTATTACTATTAACACGCTTCTTTCACGAAAAAATAGCTGCTTATTACACTCGAATTTAGTAACAGTTCGTACTCGATATTCTTTTACCTTTCATCGACAAAATTATAACAAAGAATATGTTGAATTTTACTCTGTAAATTTCAAGTAGTATCATGCTAGTGGCAATGAACATATTTCATGAATTCAGTTTGTGTTCTTTTAGCTTCCATGATAAAGGAGAAATAACAGCAGCAGAATTGAGACTCTGTTTTATTTCACAAAACTCTCAGTTTTCTTACGTGATAAATGATCATATTTATCATAGTTGCAGTTACATACAGCTCTTACTTTGTGAAGTATTTCATTCTACATTCGGCTACTTGAACTGTTTCATCTCTGAAAGGATAGATCACAAAGAGCACCATATTTTTTTGGATTTTCTACTTTCAACTTTATGTTTCCTGACTAGTCAAACATTTTCTGTCTGACCTAGATACAAGTTGTTACCTGATCGCTCCATTATTTGATATTATGATCTTGTTTCAGTTTTTGTTTATTTTTTTTTTTTGTGTTTCTTTGATATTCAAAGTCTTTGTCCCACACTTCGTACAATGCTAGCTAATCTGACGGTTTGCTTTAATAATGTAATAGGAATATATAATAGTTGCCACAATAAGAGTTAAAAACATGTTTCGAAAATCACCGACATCACTTTATTGAAGAGGCATTGTTGATACTAAACTATAGGATTCATTTAATTTGAGAATTTAAAATTTGTTAGCACTGAAATCCTGACTCAGTTCAGTAAGATGAGATGTATCATCAAGAACGCAATTCTCATTGAAATATTTCTGTTTGACAGCAGTCCTTTTAGATTGATGAATATTCTACATGCAAGCATTGCAAATTACTAAAATACTCTTGATTTTCTAATTTTGAAGAAAATAGTAGGATATCTGGCAAATTTCTCTGAGTTTGCAAGTCCTAGAATTGACAAAATTCCAAAGTCTATTAGAAAGCAAACACTTTAATACTAAAAACTATATGGTAGCTTTAGGACTCAAGGAACATTACGAATTCTCTGATCTCATATGACCCGCAGAACTACTCAAATAGACGAAGAAATTCACACAACTCTGAGTATTCTAGAAACTTGTAAAATCTATGATTTTCAATGAACCCATTGTAAGCGTTGCTTATGTTTAATAATTAAATTAAACTGTAAAAGGAATTTTCTATTACCAAACTTTTCAACTTCTACCGAACAAAAAAGTCATCAACACTTGCTCACAGTTTCATCCATATTTACAGTATAACATTTGTAGTTTTCTTTTACCTATTCAATAAAGTCTTCACTATAACATTATTGAATCGTTCAAATCAAATTCTAGGTATTAAAAAAATGATTTAAAAATTGCCATCTCAAATGATTATATGTGGATCCATCAATGTTTCGTTTATTCTCAGCTGTGCAGACGTGGGGTGTGGGTGTGGGTGTGGGTGTTCCTTTTGTCCATCCACACGCACACCCACCCTTGTTCGACATTCAATCGAAAATATTTTTTTAAGAGCATAATACAGAGGTGTAGAAAATACTCGTCTGTGCCAACACTGCTGGAGAAAAAAATTTTGATTCCTAGGGACCTTTTTAGAAAATTGTTGGGGAATAAGATCTTCATTAGGGAAGGGGAAATTTTTCGAAATCACGGCGAGTTCTACACTTCTGCTATAATCGTTTAAATGTGCTGATTTAAATGTTGTCAAGTTAAAGTGAATATTCTTCCTTTGTTTTCTATTCTTAACAATGCAGTTTATTCATTTATTGTCATAGTATATCAACGAAAAAGTGCACTCATCGCTGCATCTTAAAATAATAGTCTTGACCAACAAATAAGATATGGCATAGAACATGTTCTAGAAAAAAAGTGGCGTTTTTTACTGTAATATAAAGTGTAGGTCAACAATGAATTAAACAACATAAGTTATTAATTTTTCGTCGTCATTGAAAATATTTGCCTTTTCATATATCTGTAAAAGAAACAATTTCTTTTTTTTAGTCCAATAATCAGATCAAAAATTGAATTGACAGAGTTAAGATCCAAAGTATTGATTTATTATTTATTATTTATTATAATTGTATAACATTGATACGACGAAAAAAATGCTATGGTTACTTACTAAAGAGTCTTACTAATGTCTCAAGACTAGGGAACTTTTTATTTTAAAATGATTTTCTAATTTAATTAAAAGCTTTGAATTTTAGTTAGATTGAAATAATCTTGAAAAATGAATATAATTTTTTTTGGTTTTTGTTTCGTTACATCAGTCTTTTGATTGACGATCAATAGTGATCGGATCTATAAAAAGAAAAGTATAACATATCTTTCTTTTTAGATAAAATGATCAGTAGAATGGAAACATTACCTAATGAAATTCTTCTTCATATATTTTCTTATTTTGAATGGTTCGATATGTTAACTTCTTTCTGGCCATTAAATATTCGCTTTAATTCTCTTGTATGTTCAACTCTTTCGATAAATGACAATCGATTGAACAGTGCTCTTATTATTACACATGGTTTATCATATAATAAATGCTGTTCAATATTATTTCCATTAATTTTCAATTCATCATCTCTTTGTTCTTCTAATCAACGTATTCATTTCGATGGAACAAATTCAATTGCTTGTGATCTTAGTTATGAATGGTTGTTTAATGACAAGAAAATTCTTCGTTTTCCTAATCTAAAAACACTTATTCTTACTCGATGTGGATCAATTGAACCAGTAGTTCAATGTTTATCTTATCTTATTAAACATCAATTGGATGAACTTACATTGACATTTGATGGACATGTATTCAAACGGTTTCATTATATAGAAAAATATCTGTCAGTGGCTTCTGATAAAGGTAACCAACCATTTACTCGATAGATTCTATAAAACAAGATGGGATAATTTGTCTTGAAGAAATCATCCTTAAGTGCAACCATTTACATTCTATATAAATTCTTTTACTGAAGTAAAGAGGAGTATTTAGGTGTCAAACAATAAGATTTACTTTGGAGAAAACTTTTAGATGAAAATCTATATTTGACAATTATTGACAATCATTATTACTGAGTAAAAATCTAGTAAAATGGTCACCTAGCTGAAGAACACAGGAATATGGTCGCGAATCAACCTAGTTTTTCTCTTGTCTCAATACGTCCTATCTGATAAGGTGAGTGTCAGCTTAAAATTGATATGATAAGTAATAACATCCAATTTAATAATTTATTATTTCTTTGTTATGGAAAACAAGCGGTAGATGTGAATGAGTAGTATGTCATTATGAATAAATTTTGATTCATTGTCTAATTGTATTCATGATTATCTTAAACATGTTCTAGTCATTTATTCATTGAAATGTCAACTAATTGTTATAATCACTCAGTTGACTCAACAGAAATATAATAAAATTAATTTTATCATTTTTCTATATTTATTTTCAATATTTGATATATTGATTAATCAGAAAAATAATGAGATTTTGTATATATAAGTTTTACATTACTGAACCTAAAAATAAAAAGAATTTTCCAAAATAAAAAATATTTCTCTTTTATTTTTTCTTTGATAAATAATAGAAAAACAACTGGCCATGATCGAACAACTTCTTTGTCAATTATTCTCTTCTCAATGTCAATTAACATCTCGTCGACTTGATATCAACGATGACTTTGAGGGTGGTAGTATTCATCGATGTTTACTATCAAACTCCAATTTCTCTTCCAATTTTCTTCCATATCAATTTCGATCTTATTGTATGACTCTTCATCATTTATATATTCGACTTAATCAGATATGTTTTTTCCACAATCTTATTGAACATGTACCAAATCTTGAACAAATGTCCGTTCAGTTTAATTGTTCATTACGTTCATATTCGTATGTATTAACGACATCAAATATTGAAAACTTGAGTCAATCAAACGAAAATTGGTTTAATAAGGTAAGAAAAACAAAGAATAATCATCTTTTTTTTTTATTTGATGAATTCTTAAAATATCTATTTCTTTTGATTGATAAAAAAAATAATCATATCGTTTCAGATACTATAACTACGATGTTTTAGTTTAAAAACTTTCATTGATACTGATTTGGAATTTATTTATTTGAAATGGCTTCTCAACAATTTAAATTATGTTGAAAAACTTGAACTTCATCTTAAGAGTTATGACTTTATCGAAACGAAAAATCATAATATATGGAAATGTTTTATTGATGCGAATTTCATTCGTCAATATTGTTTACCTGATACAATACCTAATTTAGTTGATTTCAATTTTTTTATTTGCTCAGAATGTGAATTATCATATAATGATATAGAAAGAATAACTAATTCATTTAAAATTCATCCTTTTTTTCATTTCACATCAATGGACAAATGTCAAATGTTTGTTTGATCGAATAATTGAATGTCAACATCTTTTCTCTTCTTTTACTAATAAATTTCAATTCTCTAATTGTGGAATGTAAGATATTTGCTTTTCTGAAAGCTCTTATAGATTCGCAAATCAACTATATTCTTTTTCTTTTAGTAATCATCCCTATATTTTCAACTGGTCATCTGTTGATGATCTCTTCTCTTACACATATCCGTCACTTTATTTATTTCTTGAACAATTCAATGAATTATCTCTCAACATTTCTTCTATCAAAGTATACAAAAGTAAATTGTTCTCCCATTTCACTCATTCTTTTGATGATCGAAGAAGTAGATAGACAACAAATTTTAACATATTCACATCATTTCGTAATAAATCTTGTAATAAAACGATAGAGAAAAAGAGAAAACATTAATTTTAATCGAAACAATTATATTAGAAGAAAGCTTTCTCATGAGTATTCATCTATCTTGTTGTCAACTAAATCTAGTAGAAAAATGGTAAAACAATATGTAAAGTAAATAAAATTTCTTTTGTTTATAGAGCGCCGTGTGGATTTTAAGGAGCCAAATTTCCTAATATCATTGGAAGTTTTATCCAAAATGAGACAATACAATGGAATTGATTTTCCTTTTTGAAATGTTACGAAAATTCAATTTGGAACATGGTTTGATCGGTTGAATGGTTAGTATTAGCTTTGTTTCTTTTTTTTTACGATCTGAAACAAACAATGTTAATTCTTCATCTATAGCTAAAAAAATATTTCCTGTAGCTTTTTTATAGTTTAAATTTCATGTAGAGCTATTTTCCTTATAGTGATTGCTTTGAAATGACTTTTTTTTATTGTTTATATTACAGATTTGATGTTTGATAATTATATTGAAACTTTAAACGGAGATTTTCAATTACCAGATTTTCTTTTTAAATATTAATTTTACTTGAAAAAATTCAAAGTAACACTACTTTCATCGTTATTAGAACAACATTCATGATTCACTATTGTAGCAAATCAGATTCAGAGCATTGATTACTTATTTTATAGAAGAAAATATTGTCTATTCTATTCAACATAGAACAACTTTTAAAATATATTATATAAATATCTGGAAATTTCAATAAATTAAGTTGCTATTGTCTTCATTGTCATTTCAATCATCAAAGATCATTTGAACTGCGTAAGGTCTCTTTGCTTTAACAGATTTCTCTTCATTTGATGCTCTTGTTGGAAGTCCTTCAACTAGTTTTCGCCAACGTTTCAGCCATAAGCAACCAGCAAGTAGTAGACTAAGTAAAAGTAAGACACCAAGTATAACCAATAGTATCCACCAAGGAAATGGACGCTTCATTATTGGAGCTAAACAAGATAACAATGATCACAATATATATTCTTATGATTGTTCTCCTCAATAGGTAGCCACTATACATGACTGTTCTGTTTTTAGTCTTACATAGATTTTTGACAGGAGTATATCGCAATTTTCGCATCTTTCACTGAATTTTCCGATTCTCAAAAAGATTTCCGAAAAAAAAACGCTTCGACAAAATCCATTTTTCAATTTAATATCTCAGCAAGCGGAATTAATTAAAGTAATAGAAATTACATAGTTGAATTCAGCTAGACATATGTAGAGTAAGATGTTTTTCATAGCCTGTACCCTGTCTGAAGAAAGTCTTCTTACCCTAACCTTACCCTACCCTGCACATCTCTAAATTCAGCTTTTTGGATATGCGATAGAAAACTTTTGTTAAATGAGAAAACTTCGTGTACATTTGTAGCTTCATCATCAACAGAAAACATATTTGTCTCTAATGAAAATATACTGTAAAACTTTGATTGTCTATTTAAAGTCTAGTAGAAATAAGAAGTTTAAATCATTGTTTGATGGAAAATAGAGGACTTTTCTACATACGACAAGGAATAATTTCATTTGCAATCTCTTGAAAATGTTCATCTAACTTAGTGATTGATGAAGCAAAAAAAACATGGTCTGTCGTTGTGGCAATTGCTTTCAATTCTGCAGGATGTGCATCAGCTACGCCAATAGCATAGACTTCGATATTCTTAATTTGATGTTTTAAATTGTTAGCTGATTGTGTTGTTTGCCCTGGATGCTTCGAATTTCCATCGGTAAACACAATAACTATATTTCGTTTAGCCGTCTGATCTTCTTGAAAAATCTCTTTCATTTTATCTGAAACATTTATATGAACACACTGAATTAGTTCATGAAAAAAAAAATGAAAAGAAACAATGAGAAAATGCTTTCAGAATTTCCACAATTTTCGGCCATTGACCTAGAAACTGATAGTTTTTACGTTTTTTGTTTTAAAGATATTTTCGAATTATCCGAGTTTTTCATACGTCCAGGCCTGTAACAATTTCTCTGACGTCTCCATCGTTTTCCTATGGATATCCCTGGACTGTTTTAATCTTTGAAGTCTCGGAATGGCAGAGAGTTTAAGGAAGAATGAATTCTAGTGTTTACCAGTTGGTTTGTACTCAAGATAAAAAAACAAAGCTATCGTCAGAGTACTAAACGAGCCAATTTTTTTTTACATTATCTAGATGAGTTCGTTTAGAAAATGTTCAATGTAAGGATGAATAATTTTCATATGTCAAAATCTTGAAAACAAATTTTTAGGCATTTGGTTTCGTAATTATGAGAGAATATTAAAAACTGTGCATAATTCACAAACAAAAGACAATATTTCATCATGTCTATAAACTCATATTTCATCATTTTCAATATTATTCATTGAGAAACTTTCGATTATAATATCTACACAAACGTTGAACTTTTTTAGCTGCAATTTTCACTCAAAATATAGACTACAGCAAGGGGGAAAAAGCTGACTCTACAGCATCGGAGTCAGCTGGAGTCAGCGGAGTCAGCGGGAGTCACCGGAGTCAGTGGGAGTCAGTGGGAGTCAATTGGAGTCAGTTGGAGTCACCGGAGAATCTGAGTGACTCCAACTGACTCTAAGTGACTACCATTGATTCTGAGTGACCTCCATTCACTCCGATTGACTCTACTGACTTCGAATGACTCCAACTGACTCTAAATTATCCCTATTGATTCCACTGACTAGAAGTGTAACTTTTGCGTTCCATTCC